TTTAGTTATAACGATTTAGTCACCAAACACTAGACCAAGTACATCGGGCATGTAAGCGCAAAAGGTGTTAGCCAGCGTCACTTGTTGCTTAGTTAAATAGTAAAGTACACAATTGTAAGATACAAAATGTTTGTTATTAATTGCTTTATTATATATTCAAATACAGTACAGTGCGAAACGTTTTGAAAAGCTGTGATGATCAGACAAATATTAATGTATTTTTTACACTAACAATCAGTTTATTTTATATGATTAAAGTTGCCAATGTTTGGAGGGAAGGCAGCCATTCAACAGCACTCACTAACAACTCTTGGGCTACTGTAATCGAGTAATGGAAGTTGAACATTACTCTTATAACACATCTATGTCCCAAAGTATGAGGCAACGGGATGCAAATATTGGAATCTCGGTTGCAGAGTTTTGCTCGCTAACTATTAGGCCACATTCGGTTCTGTCTCGATTTTACGAAACGGTTTGCTCACTAATGTGTAGATGTAACCAAATTTTTAAAACAAGTTACAATAATAGTTTGATTTCATTATCTATGATGGAAATGTCTATCATATTGACTTATCAAGCGCAATAAGAGTAGTTCAGCTTATAAAGTCATAAGTATATTGTCATACACAGTCAATAGCACAATATTATGTTGCTAAAGCAAAACATCTAAAAACTTGAATTGTACACCATTTTCCGTTTCTGTACTATTAGCCGTGAGGATAAAAAAATAAGTCTAGAGGGTGTTAGAAATTGTATCTAATTTTATAAAATTTCCAAAAAAATATTGTGATGTTTACTATCAGTTACATCTAACACGATTATATCATCCGATACTATAATCTCAATGTATAATCTTTAAACTTTATTGGCAATTTTCATTTTTCATACATTTCTTCAGATATTACTTTGTTTTTTGCAACTTTAACCTTCTTTTTTTTTTTTCTTTTCTTAATTCCCAAATTATATTACATCACATAATATTTATTATTTCCCTCTTTAATTTATCGACACACCACTACTTTATGCATGTGTCATATCTGGAATTCACCATTCCATAACTAGTATAAAATATACATTTATTCAGATATATTCAAGTAATTATTTTTTCTAAATTCCTATCCAGTTTCTGCATTTTGTTGATTACGTCTGTATTTATTGTATGTCTCAATGTTGCAACACATTCTGATTCTTTTGCACAGGTAAAGTCTACAGGTTGCAATCCTTGTTCTGAAGTTGGCACTTAGGAGTTTATTTTTTATGAACTTCTAAGAAGGTAGCCCATTCAAAGCGGTAGTACAGAAGCCTGTACAAGTGGTTTAATGAACAGTGATCACATTTCAGCTATAATAGGTAATATGGAGATTGGAGTAATTCATAATGAATTGAATATTTAGGTAGGGATATACCAACTTCAAATGAAAAGAGAGAACCTAATGAAATCTAATGATTTGTCACCTGTGTCGTTATCATATAGTGGCTATTCTAAGGAGAGAAAGGTTGTAGTTAGCACATTAAATGTACTGTTTCATCACCAACATAAAATTCATTTAAGTAAAAATAATCAACAGATAATCATGTATCTAAAATTATTGAGATTTGGTTTGTTTTGACATTGGCGCAAAGCTACGCAAGGGCTGTCGTTTGTAATTTGGAAGTGATGGACTCGAAGGAAGGGCAGTTAGTCAACATAATCCACTGCCAACTCTAAGGCTACTCTTTAAAAACGAATAGTGGGATTGACCATCACATTATAACGCCCCCACGGCGGAAAGAGAGCATGCTTGTGGATGGGATTCGATCCCGCTATCCACAAATTGTGATTGAAGTGCCCAAACCATCAGGCCATGTCAGACCTTCTGGTTTGAAAATTTGCCAGTGATGGTGGTGGCATTGTTATAGAGGTTGATTTTAGGGTTTCTATGTGATTTCTTCTGTAAATAAACAAAGTGATTAGTCAGTGTACGTTTAGTCCACGGAGTCGTCTAGAAAGCGAAAGTAGTTTTGCCATATATTGATATTTAGGGTTGTAAAGAAGAGCTTTGTAGTATTGGCCTAAGCATACTAGGTGTGCAAGTGCTTCTAGAAAACTAATGAGGGTTCTTGGACACGTGAAGCATGGAGTTCATTTTCTTGGGGACTGGATTACATGGTCACAATATATTTGGTTTTAAATTCTTTCCAGTAAATCAATTTATAACTCATCCATTGCAGTGCTACCAATATTATAGATTTAGTTATGTGGAGGCTCATTATCACAGTTGGCATTGATTTCTGAAGTGTGGGAAACTCGTAAGATGGCATACTGTACCAAGGCTTCCAATTTAAAGAGGGTAATCAGTGTCATATTCAACCCGGAGCTAATACGTTGGAATGTCTTCGAGCGTGAGTAAAATTTATTCTCTTAAGAGGCTCTTTTGTTACTTCAGAACTCATCTAAGTCATCATTTTGCTGAGGTTTTGAAGTGTCCCCACCCTCATTCTTCTATATCATCTACTATGTGGTAATTTAAAAATATATATAAATCGCTATTCAGACTGTCACAGTAGATGATATAACTCAAACTGATAGTTGTCTGTCTCAAAATATAGATTTAGAATGCTTTATTGCCGAGATAAATAATGAATGTTCTCGGTTTTAGGCTAGCTCTATCAGAATTTTGGTTAGTTTTCAGGCAGGTAAAATAATCTTTGATTTGGTTCTATAGCCCTTTATGTAATTCAAGAGTTATCATGATTTATATATTTAATCAGTGGTCGTTTTAGACTTATTATATACTAATCATTTAACTACTATTAAATTTCCATTGCCAAAATTATGCAAAAAAGAAAAAAAAATGTAGCAAAAACATGTATTTCAAACAGTAAAGTTTTCAGGCAGGTAAAATAATCTTTGATTTGGTTCTATAGCCCTTTATGTAATTTAAGAGTTATCATGATTTATATATTTAATCAGTGGTCGTTTTAGACTTATTATATACTAATCATTTAGCTACTATTAAATTTCCATTGCCAAAATTATGCAAAAAAGAAAAAAAAATGTAGCAAAAACATGTATTTCAAACAGTAAAGTTTTCAGGCAGGTAAAATAATCTTTGATTTGGTTCTATAGCCCTTTATGTAATTTAAGAGTTATCATGATTTATATATTTAATCAGTGGTCGTTTTAGACTTATTATATACTAATCATTTAACTACTATTAACTTTTCATTATGCAAGAAAAAAAAATGTAGCAAAAACATGTATTTCAAACAGTAGAGCTTCAGGTGAATCAGCGGTAAGCTTATGTTCTTATAACATTAAAAACATTTTATTGGCACTAACTCTCCATACATAGTTGGTATTTGAAATATTTAGTTAAAAGTCCATAATCTCCCTTACATTCCAGGCTAATCAATTCATCGACAAGTTAGTGTTGATGGTAGTCATGATAAAATTTTGTTTAGTTGTGCATTTTCTTGTTCGTCTTCAGGATATGTTTCCCTTTGAAGATTAAAAGACTAATATAGCTTTTTATTCTTTCCATTGGCCATTTTTCAACCTAAACCCCTATATTGATCTTTCTATAGCATACTTTTTTAAATTGTTTCAAAATGTTTATAAATATATGTATATTTATATGTATGTATATATAAAATTATGTAGTGATTTTAATGCTCATAATCATCTATAAGGATCTGATCACATTTATGGTAATTGGTTAGAATATTGAAGTGTTACTTTTCTGAGTTTGTTTTCTTGAATGACAACTCTGAGCTTTTCCTGGATGCAACTTACTTCTAACGGTCTTTGTGACAAATGCATATATGGAGGTACTTCCTTACTCAATAGTTAGTGACCCTCTCCCTTGTTACAAAGGATCTCATGTCTTCACATGACACTTTTTCGGAATGCTTTGAAATATTATAGATCCATCAAAGCTCAAACATAAAAGTATTTCCATAAATGTAAGAGATATTACTGGAGACGTTTTTTGTTACAATTGGATTTTAAGCATCATCTCTCTCTCTCTCTCTCTCTCTCTGATTTTGAATAAGCTTCGAGCTTTTCACGGAGTTAATTCTGTTGACGATAACCAAAGTTGGAAACATGAAGAACAGATTTTTACACATTCCTTCATATAAATGTAATGCCTTTGTTAATGTTTTGAGTGTTTCGGTTCAATCAAGAGTTCGTCAGGTCAATTGGGATACAGCTAACACATTAATGGTC